CAGTGCCCCACCAGCCCCTGGTGCCCTGCCCCTGTCCCTTCCCACTGCTCCCAGTGCCCCACCAGCCCCTGGTGCCCTGCCCGGGTCCCTCCCCAGTGCTCCCAGTGCCCCACCAGCCCCTGGTGCCCGGTCCCGGTCCCTCCCCAGTGTCCCACCAGCCCCTGGTGCCCTGCCCCTGTCCCTTCCCAGTGCTCTCAATGCCCCACCAGCCCCTGGTGCGGTGCCCCGGTCCCTCCCCAGTGCTCCCAGCGCCCCCAGCACGGCCCCACCGCAGCTCCTCTCGCCGGCGGTTGATCAGCTCCTCCTCCAGCCGGTGCAGACACGTCCCCTCCGACTTGATCTTCTCGAAGTGCAGCTTCACCTCCTCCCGCCACTCGGCCTGCGGCACAGGGACAGCGCCGCCGCTGCCACCGGGCTCCAGCCACCACCAGGCTGTGTCCACTACAGGCTCCGGCCACCGCCGGGCTCCGGCCACCGCGGGCTGTGTCCACTACGGGATTCAGCCACCGGGCTCCGGCCACCATCAGGCTGTGTCCACTACAGGCTCCGGCCACCGCCGGGCTCCGGCCACCGCCAGGCTGTGTCCACTACAGGCTCCGGCCACCGCCGGGCTCCGGCCACCGCCGGCTCCGGCCACCGCGGGCTGTGTCCACTACGGGATTCAGCCACCGGGCTCCGGCCACCGCGGGCTCCAGCCACCGCCGGGCTCCGGCCACCGCGGGCTGTGTCCACTACAGGCTCCGGCCACCGCCGGCTCCGGCCACCGCGGGCTGTGTCCACTACAGGCTCCGGCCACCGCCGGGCTCCGGCCACCCCGCCCGTCCAGGGCACCGGCGGTGCCGGGCACTGCGGGTACTGCCCGGCTGGGGCCCGGTGCTGGTACCGCAGGAAGGGGGTCCTGGGTGCTGGGGGGTACCTGGGATTTGAAATAGGTCTCCTGCGGCGTGGAGAGGACGTCGGCCGAGGCGATGTCGAGGTGCAGCAGGATCTGGCGGAAGGACGGCCGGTTCCGGGGTTTGCTGTTCCTGGGGGAAGGACACGGCGCCCAGGGTGGGCTGGGGGAGTCCTGCGGGTCTGGGGGGGTCCCTCATGCCACGGGGGCCCACAGAGCGTCCCCAGGGTGTCCCCTGCGGTGTCCCCGTGGCACTCACCAGCACTGGCGCAGCAGCACCTTGAAGCCGTCGGGGCAGCTGGAGGGCACGGGCAGGTGGAGGCTGTTGCTGCCCACGCCCCAGATTATGGCCGACGAGTCCACGTCCTTGTAGGGGATCTCACCCGTCAGCAGCTCCCACAGCACCACCCCGAAGGACCTGCGGGCACCCGCGGCCCCCGTCACCCACGGTGGCCTCCTGCCGTCC